TTCATGCCGGCATCATCCCTGTTGGAAATTCACTGAAGTTATTTCTAAATGAGAACTGACTCAATCTATTCCACTACAGTTTCATACAAAGCATTTTTTTTCTCATTTCAAAATAATTTCAGACTTCCAAAAAGTTGCAAAAATAGGACAGTGTGTATACCCAGTTCCCCAAAGAACATCTTACGTAACACTAGGAGGCGTTGGCCGTCACTTCACAGAAGGTCCCTGGGTTTGGGTCTGTGTCTGATGTCTCCTCGGGATTAGATTCGGGTCATGCAGTGCAGCAGAAGAACCATGTGACACTGTGCTCTCAGTGATGCCACCAGGTCGGCGTTTCCTGTACAGTTTGCTCCTGGCAGTGACCATGGGGTTAAGGGGCCTCTGCTGCTCTGCTGTTATGTGACCACTGTCTCTCTGGAGGTCACTGCACATCTCCAGGGGAAGTTTCTCAAGACTCAGCAGACACCTGCTTCACACCACACGTCACCCTCACTTCGTGTCCACTGAGGGTTCTTTATTTTTTGAGACAGCTCTGTCACCAGGCTGGAGCGTAATGGAGCAATCTTGGCTCACTGCAATCTCTGCCTCCTGGGTTCAAATGATTCTCCTGCCTCAGCCTCCTGAGTAGCTGGGACTGCAGCTGCGCACCACCACACCCAGCTATTTTTTGGATTTTTAGTAGAGACAGGGTTTCACCATTTGCTCTTGACCTTGTGATCCACCCGCCTCAGCCTCCCAAAGTGTTGGGATCACAGGTGTGAGCCACCCTGCCAGTCTAATTTTTGTATTTTTAGTAGACACGGGGCTTCTCCATGTTAGCCAGGCTGGTCTTGAACTACTGGCCTAAAGTGATCTGCACGCCTTGGCCTCCTGAAGTGTTGGAAGTACACGCCTGAGCTGCCACGCCCTGGCCTACTGAGGGCCATAATCTGCACCCGTCACTACTGTGGCTTCTCTAATGGCAATTTCCTGTTCCCAACACTTCTTCCACATTAGAATTAATACAACAGGCCAGGCGTGGTGGCTCACGCCTGTAATCCCAGGACTTTGGGAGGCCGAGTCGGACAGATCACGAGGTTAAGAGATCGAGACCATCCTGGCTAACATAGTGAAATCCCATCTCTACTAAAATATAAAAATTAGCTGAGCATGGTGGCACATGCCTGTAGTCCCAGCTACTTGGGAGGCTGAGGCAGGAGAATTGCTTGAACCCTGGAGGCGGAGGTTGCAGTGAGCCGAGATTGCACCACTGCACTCCAGCCTGGCGCCTGGCAACAGAGCAAGACTCTGTCTCAAAAAAAAAAAAAAAAAAAAAAAAAAAAAAAAAAAAAAAAGACGAAAAAAACCGGGTCAAAAAAAAAAAAAAAAAAAAAAAAAAGAATTAACACAACAGACCTGGCCCTCCCCCCACTGACATGCTTCACCTAATTACTATGTCGTCAAGACTAGTGGATATTAAGTTATTCTGTGGGGTATCATGGCTCTCGGCAGACTTAACCTCTGGCTCAAGTGATCCTCCCGCCTCAGCCTCCTGAGTATTTGGGATTACAGGGGGGCAACACCACACACGGCTGATTTTTCTTATTTTTTGTAGAGGTGGGGTTTCACATTTTACCCAGGCTGGTCTTGAACTCCTGGCCTCAAGTGATCCTCCCACCCTGGCCTCCCAAAGTACTGGGCTTGCAGGTGTGGGCCCGACGCCCGGCCTGTTTAACTTCATGCTTGAACTATCCCAGGCTGGCCACCATGTGCTCCTTTCCATACCCCCGTGTTATTTCAACAAGTCCCACCATCTCTCAGCAATTCTTCACTTTCGGGCTCCTCCTTCACTCTCTGGCCTGGCCCTGGCTCCTTTGGTTAGCGAATAGCCCTGGGTGCCGGGGTGGCTGCATCTGGGCCCTCAGCGCAGAGCTGGGAAACATTCGTGCACAGCCCCCCGACACAGTCCCCCAACACACGGTTTCAGTTACCCATGGTCAACCACAGTCCAAAAATACTAAGTGAAAAATTCCAGAAATCAACCATTTGGGAGTTTTTGATTCTGTGCTGTTCTGAGCAGCCATCCTGCTGGGACACAAAACCTCCCTCCATCCAGCAGCTCAGGCCATCCACGCCACCCTGCCCACCAGGCACTCAGCAGCCACCTCAGTGATGAGCCAACTATCGCGGTGATGCGGTGCCTGGGTCCAAGAAGCCTTTATTCCACTTACTAAAGGCCCCGAAACCCACGAGTGGTGATCCTGGCGATTCAGATACGCCAGAGAAACTGCCAAGTACTTCCTCTAAGGGAAAAGGTGAAAACTCCTGACCTAAAAGAAAAACAATCATATGCCGAGGTTGCTAAATTCTTTGGGAAGAACACACCTCCTATCTGTGGCATTTTGAAGAGGGAAAAAGAAATTCCTGTCAGTTTTGCTGTCATACCTCAGACTTTATCACAGATACGTAGGAAAAAGCACGGTCTACACAGGATTGGTGCCCATCCGAGGCTTCAGGCACCGCTGGGTATGGAGCACACCCTGGGCAGGTGAGGGTGATCAATCACTCTACTTCTCCATCCAGTTACCTCTGTGTGTCTCTTGCTTTGGTCAGTAGTTTTCCATGTCATTTAGGCTGGCATCTTCTTCCCCACGCCCCAGTGGGTCAGAGTGCAACGCGAAGAGGCAGGCCCGAGCGCCCTGTCATAGCCCCGAGGCCGGCCATGCTCATCAGCTGCAGCTCATCCTTCTGGTTTCTCGTTTGTGGGGATTAGCAGGTGTCTGTAGTTTCCCGTGGCCCTGCCCTTCCCTGCTTTACAGTAAACTCAAGCCATAGAGCCGCACTGCGTCAGCACAGGTTCCATGGTGGATGCATCACAGCTAACACGTGCTGTGAGGGCACTGGGGTTGCTACAAACAGTGCTGCGGTAATCCTATGCCTACACAAAATATTCTGATGACAAAAAACAGCTTTTCGGCCAGGTGCAGTGGCTCACACCTGAAATCCCAGCACTTTGGGAGACCGAGGCAGTGGATCATCAGGTCAGGAGTTCAAGACCAGCCTGACCAAGATGGTGAAACCCTGTCTCTACCAAAAATACAAAAATTAGTCAGGTGTGGTAGCGGGCGCCTGTAATCCTAGCTACTCAGCAGGCTGAGGCAGAGAATTGCTTGAACCCGGGAAGTGGAGGCTGAAGTGAGCTGAGATTGTGCCACTGTACTCTGCCTGGGTGACAGAGCAAGACTTAGTCT